GAATCTCAAGCAGATTCTGTGCTGAGTGCAGAGCCTGATGCAGGGATCGATCCCATGACCCTGAGATCATGACCTGAGCTGAAATTAAGAGTCGGATACTTAACCAACTGAGCCACCCGGGCACCCCTCAAACAAAAATTCTTCTAAAATAGTGTAAATTATTCATGCTTGATTCGTCCTATTAGTACTTCTTCCAGGTATCAGACCCAGAGTAGTTCTACTTTGTCCCTCTGACAAAAGCAAGCAGCGGTTCTCAAACTTTTGCACAGCTCTGAACACCGGAACTTGCTCGTGTGATCCATCAGGAGGAAGGGCCCGTGGTGGACTTCCAAGATGCTTCATGCACAAACTCTTCATCACACTGTGGACGTGGACTGAAGGGGAGGCTCCAAACCCAGAGTGAGAAACACGATGTGAGTCAAACCCTGCTGAAGGCCTTTCCTACCCTTCGGATCAAGCCCTCCTTCCTTCACTGAGGTTTACAAGACTTTTTTTTTTAAATTATTTATTTATTTATTTGACAGAGACACAGCGAGAGAGAGAGAGAACACAAGCGGGGAGTGGGAGATGGAAAAGCAGGCTTCTTCCTGAGCAGGGAGCCCGATGCAGGGCTCGATCCCAGGACCCTGGGATCATGACCTGAGCTGAAGGCAGACGTTTAACGACTGAGCTACTTAGATGCCCCAAGGCTTTTTTTTTTTTTTTTTTAACTCATAACACATCTCCTTTCTCTCTGCTCACGCGGATCAGAACAACAGTGACTTTCTTCTGGAATGCATCAAGTTCTCACTTCCAGGTCAGGAGAAAAATCAAGTCCTGAGACACATTCTCTACCAGCTTTGACCACCCATGCCGCCTGGCTGAGTTCTCTTCACTTTCAGGCTTAAGGCCTCTTCCCCAGGGAGGCTTCCCATCCCCCAGCCCGGCTGTCCCACTCCCTACGCCCGGGTGGGTCCTCACTGTCCAGCTCTGTCTAGGCTGAAAGCTGAAAGCTTGTGTCTTGTTCTGTGGAACTCGGCGGGCCTCGACGTGTCACATGAACACATAAACTTTGGGCTGGGAGGGGTGAGATGGAAGATGATGGGGATGAGCCTAAGGAAGAAGTCTGGCGAGCGTGTACCGCTCCCATCACTGTGCCCTCTCGCTTACATATCACGCCTCTGACGGGGCAAACCAGGGCTCCAGTGCGGAGCTCTCGCTGGCCGTGTCTGCTCTTGCCTGTCACTGCAAGAGAACGGATCCTGGATCCTCTAGAGATATTCTCATCCTACGTGTCCATGCAGCGGCTGCGTGACACCGGGCGAGTCTTGACCTTTCCGATGTCATTTCTCCTACAAGGCAAAGCATACCACACACTCTGAGGTTTTAAAAACCCTCTGTTTCAGGGTGGCTGGCACACAGTAGGCTCCCAAATAATTTGAATGAACTCCCCGCTCCGCTCTGATATTAACACTGTGGTACGTTTTGCGTATGAATGGAAATGATGCCTACCTGATCTGCGCTGGCCTTCGAACCATGTGAAGGGAGCACGAAGGGAAACAGGTGCACAGAGGTCATCCTCCCTCTGGCTATTATTTGACCCCTTCGTCCAAACATCATCAAGAATGACAGGTGCCCGCATGGGTGTTCCAGATGCAAGACATGGACAGTAGCAAACGTCATGGGTCGGGACAATGGCGGGGACACGTGCAGCCAAATCAATAATTTGGGGTCTTTCGAGCCCTCATGTTTTCCTGCTAGTTTTGCTTTTCACCCATTTTTTTTTTTTTAAAAGCAAAAATCCTCTGTGGTTTTCTTTCTGCGAGCAAAAACAGGTACTAATGTAAGTCTTCTCTAAGAGTCAAACGGCATAATGTGAACTTTCAGGAAGTGGGGAACACCTGTACCTAAGAGGCCAACTATTTCGAGGCGCCCCTATAACATACATGTGAATCTTTCTCCTATTGGCCTATTCTTGTTATGCTTCCATATTTCTCTTGGTATTTAAAAAAAAATGGTAGATGTTTTTTCTTTCGGGGTACTAAAATATTTATCTTGCCATCTATTTTATTTCTTATTTATTTATTTTTTAAGATTTTATTTATTTATTTGAGAGAGCGAGAATGAGAGAGAGAGCACAGTGGAGAAAGGTCAGCAGGAGACGCAAACTCCCTGTCAAGCAGGGAGCCCAATGTGGGACTCGATCCCGGGACTCCAGGATCAATGTCGTACACAACATTCACTGGGCGCTCTGTGTAGTCAGAGCGTCCCACACGCTGTTGCATGAAGTTTACAAGCATCAGTGCTTGCGACAACCCTATAATGTAGATTACTGCAGTTATTTCCATTCCACAGAGGGGAACACAGCCGCAGAGTAACCAAGTAATCTGCTGAAGGTCACGTCCCCAGTCTGGTTCCAGAGCCCAGGCGGCGGGCCATGCCACAGACCTGTCAATTTCATGGACAGCGTGGATTAACTCCGTGTGAGCCTTACAACAATCCAAAAGAAGGCCTTATTTCTCCCATTTCCGAGATAAGGAAACTGAGGAACAACCAGCTGAAGTTACTTGGCCCGGGGCCATCTCCCCAGCAGAGGGCCAAGCCAGGGTTTGAACGCAAGCCAGTGGGAGCAGAAAGGCCTGCCTGCTAAGCCCCTGGGCTATTCTGTGTCCTTCCGCAGAGCAAAATGCAAACACGTGATGGGGCACCGGGTGAAGGGGGTCCCAGAAAGCTTTGGAGAGGCCACCGTTCCCTTGAAGCCCAAGATGGACAGCCCAGGGCGGGGCTAGATGGACAGGACGGGCCATCTGTGGGGAGGAGAGACTGAAACAGAAAAGATGAAACACAGTTTACCATCGTAGGAACGGGGCCTCCTCTAAGGCCTGGGTGATATTCTGGAAACACCAGAAGCCGCTCCCAGGGGTTGCCAGTGGGAGGCCCAGCCGTGGCTCCTGGGGGGTGGGCTTAGCTCTGAAGACCGCCTGCTGCGGGGCAGTGGCCTGGGGGGAGGGGGCAGGCCTGAGCCACAGAAGGACTGGTGGCCCGCGACAGCACAGGGGAGAAAAGGAGACAGGGGAGTCACAGCAGGCAGAAGACAGCAGAGAATGTGCAAGCTGTCCTGAGTATTTTTTTTAGTTGCGATAAAATACACATCACAAAACTTGCCCTGTGGCCATTCTTAAGTGTAGAGTTTGGTGGCGTGAAGAGCACTCGCCTCGCTGAACAAGAACTCCCCGTTCCCGGATGCCAGGCTCCGTGGGTTAAGTGTCTGCTTTGGCCTCAGGTCATGATCTCGGGGTCCTGGGATCGAGTCCTGCATCAGGCTCCTTGCTCAGCCGGGAGCCTGCTTCTCCCTCTGCCTGCTGCCCCCCAGCCCCCGCTTGTGCTCACACACTCTCTCTCTGACAAATAAATAAATAATTCCCCATTCCCAATCCTCCCAGAAGCCCCCAGAAAAATTAAAAGCAATTCTTCCACCTGCCTCCGCCCTGTGGTGTCAGGGGGCCTTTGGGCTTTCTAGAGAGAAGCCCACGCGTCAGGGGCCTCTGACTCCAACCTGATCAAAGGCAGTGGAGAGAGGGCCCGGGCTTGGGGCTCTGAGGTCCGCCTGCAGGGACACAGCCCCACTCCAGCCCCAGGTTCTCTCATCCTGCTAACCCCTGCCAGTTCACGCCCCGATGGAGTTTTTGCTGGATGTCAGCTCTGGTTCGCTCTAGCGAGACTTGGCGGCTCCGTGGGGGTGAAAGGAACCGCTGGTTGTGTCGTGCTGCCCTCTCCGAGCCCCTGGAGCACAGCCAGGCGCATCTTCGAGCCTGGTGGGAGTCGGAGGACTGGTCCCCAGCGGCCAGCCTGAGTGCTGAGCCGAGAAAGCGCTTCCCTGAACCATCTCCCTGAACCGCTCTCAGGAAAGAGAGAAGGGAGCTTCAGGCCACCTGTCGCGGAACTCGGTTTGAGAGCTTTCCCCAGTCTTGCTGTCACCCGCAAAAGATGCCGAGAACCCTTTCCTAAGCTGGACTTTGGGGCCCAGACGACTGCTGTTCAGCTGGGATTTGGGTCACGGGTCAAGCTCCGGCAGGACTTGAGCTAACCTTGGCTAAGTCATTAGACTTACTGGAGCCCTTGGTTCGGTTTACAAACCTGGAAGGAATTCTTAACACATCCCGCTCGGCTACCCAGAGTCACACTCAGGTGTGTCCAATGAGCATTAAGGACCTACAGCTGGCGTCCCCGGAACCAGGAACCAGGGAGAGCTTCTCGGAGGAAGCAGTGTTCTAAGAAGAGGAAGCGGGAGATTTCTCTCTCTCTCTCTCTGCTCTCCCTCCCCCCTCTCCCTCCTTCTCTCCCCACAACCCTTTCTGTTTTTCTCTCTCTCCACACAGCAAAAAGGCAGCTATCAGGGCATCTGGGTGGCTCAGTCGGTGAAGCGTCTGCCTTTAGACAGATCTAAAGATCAGTCCTGGGATCGGAGCCCCAGGTCGGGCTCCCTGCTCAGTAGGGAGCCTGCTTCTCCCTCTCCCTCCGCCCCTTCCTTCCCCACCCCCATCTTGTGTTTGCTCTCTCTCGCTCGCTCATTCTCACTCTCTCAAATAAATAAATAAAATCTTAAAAAACAAAAACAAAAAGGCAGCTGTCATAAGGCAGGAAGAGTGGCCTCACCAGAAGCTGACCCTGACGGCACCTTGACCTTGGACTTCCAGCCTCCAGAACTGTGAGAAAATTATTTTCTGTTGTCTAAGCCCCCAGGCCTGTGGTATTGGTCATGGCAGCCCATGCTGACAAATTCAGGGACCAACCGTCCCTGTTGGTCCGGGTCTAAGAGAGTTCCAGGGCCAGCCCTGGGAGTATCCTCACGATGGGTGAGACTGGGTATGGAAAATGCCTGGGTTTCATACAGTGCAAGGTATGCAGTAGGTGCTCTATAAATGCTAGCAATTATTATTTTATCCCTTCAACAACTACTTAGTAAGCACCTGCTCTGTGCTAAATGTGCTTTAAAATACTGGTGGTTACAGGGTGGCGGGGGTAGCTTGCGAAGGTGTCATGGCTGCTGCCGTTGAGCTTAGTCTCTCGAGCAGTGGTGACAGGAGTCTGGAGCGGAGCTGCAGCCCCAATCTCTCCCAAGAGGTGCTCTGCGAAATCTTTCGCTCTCTGCATAGCCTGGTGGGACAACTTAACCTCAGAGATGATGTGGTGAAAATTACAATCGATTGGAACAAGCTCCAGAGCCTCTCGGCATTCCAGCCCGCTTTGCTCTTTAGTGCACTTGAGCAACATGTTTTATATTTACAGCCTTTTTTAGCAAAGCTGCAGTCTCTGATTAAAGAGGAGAATACAACTGTTGTTGGAGAGATAGAAAAAACAGAAACGGGGAACAAGAATGAAGTAAATGCCAAATTTCCCATTAGTGACCTACAAGAGGAAGAAAAGCACAAAGATTGTGATTTAGGAGATGTGAAAAAGACACAGATCCATTATGATCCAGAAGTAGTTCAAATAAAGGCTGGAAAAGCAGAAATTGACAGACGAATATCTGCATTTATTGAAAGAAAGCAAGCCAAAATCAATGAAAACAACGTCAGGGAATTTTGCAATGTTATTGATTGTAATCAAGAAAACAGTTGTGCAAGAACTGATGCTGTTTTTACTCCTTACCCGGGATTTAAAAGTCATGTAAAAGTTTCTAGAGTTGTGAATACATATGGACCACAGACCAGACCTGAAGGAATTCAGGGGTCAGGTCATAAACCTAACACCTTGCTCCGAGATTGTGGCAATCAGGCTGTTGAAGAACGACTACAAAATATTGAGGCTCACTTGCGATTGCAGACAGGTGGTCCAGTGCCAAGAGACATTTATCAGAGAATTAAAAAACTTGAGGATAAAATCCTGGAACTGGAAGGAATCTCTCCTGAATATTTCCAATCTGTAAGCTTTTCTGGAAAAAGAAGAAAAGTTCAACCACCTCAACAGAACTATTCACTGGCTGAACTTGATGAAAAAATTAGTGCCCTCAAACAAGCCCTGCTCAGAAAATCAAGAGAAGCAGAATCCCTGGCTACTCACCACCTTCCATGAAAAACTCTTCTCATTCTTGTCATTTGACTTTTTTATATACGTGTAACTTACCCTGCAGTTAATTCAATGGCTGTGTAGTCATCGGTGTAGCTTCCCTCTGAAGGCAGTGTTTCTTTTCGTGTGAGTCCATGTGCAGCACGTTACCTTCAGATATTCCAGTGGATTTTGAAATGGTTAGGCATTAAAAACAGCATTGTCAGTATGTGTTCCCTTCTGTTTTAAAGGAGGTATTCTGGAAATTGAGAAACTTAAATTGAAAGCACATCTGTGTGTGTGTGTGTGTGTGTGTGTATACCACAGAAAGCAAGATTTATTTTGAATAATAATATTTAAAAGGACTTTATATTTGTAACATCAGCGTTAACCAGTTCATTAGTTTAAATCCAACTTTGTACATAAGAGGATTCACAAAAATTTATCAACTGAATATTAAATGAATGCATACACTTTTTTTAAATGTCAGTTTTAATGTAAATAAACAGTAGACCCAAAAAAAAAAAAAATACTGGTGGTTACAAAATAGACAAATAGATAAACTTGGGAAGTTTACACGCCTTTAGTTACCTGGACCAGGTCACAGGGGTCTCGGTGTGACAGGGTTCATAGTGGAAGCCGCGTCAGACTAGGAGAACAAAGGCCAGGTAAGGTGGGGCCCAAGGCAGCTGGCCCTTAGGCACTTCCCTCAGCTGTCCCCCAGCAAAAGCCACCAAACCGAACAGTCACCTCCATTGCTTCCTGTTTCTAAAAATTGGGAGCCTAGGAAGATTGGTAGCACCAGGGCCTGGTCAGATGGGCACAGTGTTTTGCCAAATGGCTCTGGCCGAACCTGTCCAAACCCAGTTGCCGGGAACTTCCCTTCTGACTGAGCCCGGGTATGACGCACGGTTTGTCTGGAATTGCTGCAGCTTGGCCACAAGGTGGCGGACGAGAACACGCTTGGCAATGTGTGGCGCCAACAAAAGGCTTTTGTAAATGTCAGAAAGGCTTATCATAAATTTTTCATGCATACACATCAGAAGGTCTCATCAGATACCGAGTGTCTGTTTCTAGAAGCTTCTTTCTTGGGACTGGTGCTAGTGGACTTCCATTCTGTCTGGGACTCGGGTACAAATCCCAGCGGGGGTCGCTGTTCCTCAGGGTGGCACCAGGCAGTATAAGGAAGCAACTGGGCTTTTTTGAGCTGGGAAGCAAACTCAGAGCACTTCCTTCATGCCCGAGTTTGCATGATTTTATGTATATCCTCATCCACTCACCAATTCATTCAACAAATATTTATTAAGCTTCTGCTGTTTCCCAGGCATTAATGTCAGCCAGAATAAATACAAAACATAACAGCGGATGTTGATAAAGTGCTCCGAAGTAAGGGGACAGAGACTGGGGAAGGCTGGTATTTTAAATGGAGTGGCCAAGGAGGACCTCTCTGAGGAGGTGCCATTGGAGCACAGACCTGAATGGAATGAGGAAACCAGATAGTCAAATGTCTAGGGAAAGAACATTCCAGAAGGGGCCCAAAAAGGGCGTATGTCCTGAAATGGTAATACGGTTGGTGTGTTTGAGCACAGCAAAGAGGCACCTGTGTCTGGAGTGTAGTGAGCAAGGGAGGAGGGAGGGGTGACCCAGATTGATCGTGTGGGCCTTGTGGGCCACATTGGGGACTTGCATGCCTGTAGGAAACTCTCAGAACAGTGGTTTCTCAACACTGGCTGCTTCTTAGAATCACCGGAGAGTTAAACCATTCTTTAATACCAATGCCTGGGCCTCGCTCTAAACCACTAGAATCAGAACTCTGGGATTGCAGGCCGAGCACCCCTTTTTTTTTTTTCTGGATGCTCCCGGGGACTCTAACAAGCAACAAAGGTTAAAAACCACAAGTGTTTGATATTGTGTAAAAGCACAATAGAAACCATGAAAACAGGCCAACACTATGATTAATGATAATATGTGCCTTTCTGGAACAACAACTTTAGATCTAGCAAGTGTGTGGGAATGTAGTATGGGTCATTAAAGACAGCTACTTAAACTATGGACTTTAGGTTGGAACTCCCGCCTCCCATCAACCCGAAGGAATCCTTCCTGGGGAAAATGCAATTTCTAAAGCATCATGGGTCACTAGAAGCTGCAATGATGGGTGTTGTAAACATAGTGATGGAGCTAAAACATGGGCCTGTCTCTGTTCTACAGACCTTCTAGGTTTGTGTACGTCTCACCTTCCCCAAGCCAAGGTCTGAAGTTCCTCCATGCTCTTGTAATAACGAGGGTCACAAGATGGTGGTCATCATACCTCTGTCAACCACAACCCCCCCCCCCCATCCTTGCCCTTCCTCTGGGCCCTTTGCTCTCTGGGCCTGTTCAAATCAGTCCGTGATCCCTGAGAATCTATGGAAATCTATGGAAAGGAGAATGCTAATTGATTTGAGCAAATGTGTGTTGGCTTTCCTCTGTGGGGGAGATGTGTGTTGGGGGTTCCCTAAGAAGCCCGCTCAGTGGTGCTGGGAACCCCTGGTGCAGACGGTTCTCATTTGTACATCATTTTCTCCAGCAAGGCATGCCAGCCTAGGTCACTGTGCCTTTTCTTCCGTGTATCGCAGAACAACTGTGAATATTATATACAGATGCCCTGCCTGGGCCTTATTTTGTCACACAATAAAGGTGTGATGTGATTCCCTTCACGCCTGAGTGAGGCTCCCCGTCTTTGCCCTAGAAAGATTCCCATCTGGTTAAAATACTGCCTCCATTTGCTGGAACTCCCTGCAGGCATTTTCCTGCACCCCCCATGCCCGCCGTCTTGGCCGTTCCCTTTCTGACCTTCTCCTGTCACGGGGCCAACCACATCGGCCCAGGCCCATGAAGCCTTACAGGTAGACGGCGTTGACGTGTACCATCTTCAGGCTGAAGGTTGAAATCCATGTGGATAGAAACCAAGTCTCAGTTGGGTGTGGCATCTATCAGAGACTAAAGTGCATAGGAAGGCTTTTGACTGGTCTCTGAAATTTCTGTCTCCTTGCAGTTAAATCAACAAACCACAAAGAAGGGCAGACCCTACAGCAATATGGTTTGGGCAGCAGGAATAGGAACGAGCACCTAGTGCGGTGTGACGAGCAGTCAGTTAACTGACAGTCTGGCAAGACTGTGCAGAGGCCCGGACCCTACTGCCTCAGCGCTCCTTTTACAAGATGGCGGCGAAGGCAGCCGGTCGCCTTCTGGAGCTCTGTGCGCATGTCATCTCTCTGCTGCCCACCTCAATCAAAATGTCTGTCCAAACTCAACCCACCACCCTGAATACTCTGTATGAATATAGCGCATTCTGAAAAATTAGTTTTTTATCCTTTATCGATTCAGTACGAGCAAAGTCTAAAAAGGCAAAGATCTCTACAAGACTTGTCTTAAAAAACAGCAATCCTTGGGTTTTCGTGTCCCACCAGGTTCCCACTCCCTAGGGGCAACCAACTTGAGCTCTTGCAACTAATTGTTTACCTCCAAATAGCCTGCTTGTTAGCTTTCCATATTAACTTCCTACTGGAGAGAAGGCGTATTTGTCCTTGACGCACACCCTGTCGTTCACACAAGGGCTACAAATGCACACTTGCGTGAGGCGAGGACGGGGTCCCCATCGTCTCAGCACAGCCACGTGCTGATTTTAATTCGATCACTATTCATTGGTCCATTGTTGTGCTCGCGTCAATGTGATCTTCACATAAGCCACACCATACACTGGGATTAGTTTTCCCCTCCATGTTTTCCCTGGCCTGTTGGCCCTGGAGTTAATCATTCCTCTCCGAACTTGCTTATTTTTCTACAGATCTTCACAAATTCAAACTCCAGATCTTCCTCGGCTTCGTGAATCTCCTCTCAGTGTGATCAAATTCACAACATGTCCTAGCAATTTCTTCATCATCTTCAAGAGGTTTCTTCTGGAACCTACTGAGAGATTTGTTAAAGAGAAAATCCTGGGTCCAGGGTGGAGTCACTTGTTCCCAGGACAGCAAACCAAGACTTAAAGGCAGGTTCAACCTCTGCAGGAGTAGAATTTTAAGCCAGTGAATCTGGAATTTTCTGGTTAGCGTCTGTGAGATGGTCTTGCTTGGGCCCTCTCCATCCCCCAAAGGAAGAGGAGGTCTTCTTCACCTGCATGGTAAGAAAGACCCCCAGCCCCTCCCGCAAAGGAAATCCACCCTACCAAAAACAATCCTTTCACTTCTTGAGCTAATAACTTCTTGCCGCCCTCCCCTTCCTATTAAATGCTTCCATTTTGTATGCCCCCCTTGGGACACCCCACCCCTCCTTGCCAGATGGGATGCTGCCTGATTCCAAATCACTTAAAGCAATTAGATCTTTAACCTTACTTAGTTGAATTTTTGTTTTGTTGTGTTTTGTTGTGTTTTAACAAATTCCAATCTGGAGGCAAAAAAGATCCTTATAAAATAATCTTCAAATCCCCATCACTTCTTGACTTTGGGACCTCCCCTAGTGTGTATTTTATGCCCTCTTCTCCCTTAGTTATTCCTGGTTTTGGTCAGGCACTTTTCTGTGGTTGATTCCTGAGAAGTGGACATGGGGGGTAAATTTTTCTAGGATTTTCCATGTCTGACGGGTTTTCATTCTAGTCTCCCATTGGCTTTACATTCAGCTGTATGTAGAGTTCTAGCTGGAGGCCATTTTCCCCGGGAATTCTGAGACCATTCCCATAGTCTCTGAGCTTTTCAGTGTCACTATTGAAAAGCCCAAACCATTCTGATTATTGATATTTGCTAGGAAAATGTTTTCTCTAGAGGCTTGTAGGATCATCTCTTGGCTTCTGGGAATTTGAAATTTCATGGCGATGTAGGTTAGCGTGAGTCCATTTTTAAAAAAATTTAATTCCAGTTAGTTAACATGCAGTGTTATATTAGTTTGGGGTGTATAGTACAGTGATTCAACACTTCCATACATCACCCAGAGCTCATCTAGACAAATATATTCCTTAATCCCCATCATCCGTTTCAGCCATCAGCCCAGGCATGGGTCTATTTTTATCTGTTGTTCCCCTGGGTGGCTCAGTCCATTAAGCGTCTGCCTTTGGCTCAGGTCATGATCTCAGTATCCAGAGATTGAGACCAGTGTCACGCTCCCTGCTAGGTGGGGAGTCTGCTTCTCCCTTTCCCTCTCCCTCTGCTTCTGCCCCTCCTTCCCCCCACCCCGCCCCTGCTGGTGCTTCCTCTATCAAGTAAATAAAATCTTCTTAAAAAAAATTTTTTTAATGGGCGCCTGTGTGGCTCAGTGGGTTAAAGCCTCTGCCTTCGGCTCAGGTCACGATCCCAGGGTCCTGGGATTGAGCCCC